GTTTGGTCCCACAGGCTCAGGACAGTTCGGCGCCCGAGGGCCTTAAGAAGCCCCTTCGAGGGCCTCCTGGGCCCCCGTTAGGTGGGAATGAGGTCCAGGATTGGGAGAGGCCGCGGCAGAGCTGGGGGAAGGGTAGGGGGCGTCCTCACCGGGAGCGGGGAAGCCGGGCGGACGGGCCCGAGGGCGGGCGTCTCCGGCCTCAAGCTTCCCGGCTCATCTCTCCGGCGACGGCGGCGGCCCCGCCACTCCTGCTGTCTTCAGGCGCAGCCCTCTCAATTCAGGATTCCAACGCTTCTGGGCCGCGCGCCGCGCCGCCGAGCCGCCCCGCCGCGGCCGCGTCTTGCTCTGCTTCAGCCTCCACCTCCACCACCTCCCCCTCCTCCTCCTCCTCCTTCCCCTCCCGCGAGCCCCAGGCCCACCGGCGCTGGCGGCGCACGATTTGTACGTCACACCCGGCGAACAGCGCCGGCGCGGCCAGCACGCGCCTAGTCCCGCCTACCCGAGAGCGCAGACGCCAAGGGACCGTCCCGCCCCCCAGCCCCGTGCGAGGCTGCGCCTGCGCACTCCCGCTGCTCCGGGCCACGCGAGGGCCCGCCTCTCTCCGGTTTGCGCCTGCGTGTCCACCCCCCCCCACCCCCGGCCAACGCTGCGTGTCCCGCCGCGTAGCCCCTTCCCGGCGCTTGCGGGCCCGAACCTCGGGGCCCGCGGAACTTGGGTCCCGTGGGCCGCGCCGGGGGAGAGCCGGGAGGGCAGGGAGATCCCGGGGCTAGGCAAGGCAGCGAGGGGAATGGAAGTCGTTCATTCTTTAAGTCCAAACAGGTCTTGAGCAGAAAGAGCCCAGAGGCGTGAAGGCAGACCAGCGTTAGGGCACACGATTTCCCCAAGGCTCCCCAGACCCCCGTCCCCGCCCAGAGGGGCTTGGAGGGGCCCGCTACGCCAGGGGCGTAGAGAGCAGGAAGGGCAGAACTTGGCACCCGAGCAGTAATGGGGCTGCAAAGGGACCGTCGTCGTCGGGCCTCCCCTGCAGACGGCCGCCTAATAAACACACCCCCGGAGACAGTGCTGGAAACTGGGGCCCCGTCGCCGGGGAGAGAAGTGGGGATTAAGCTTCTTGTGGAGCGAGGAGGCAGCGGGTACCTGGGGAGAGGTGTGGCACAGGGAACCACGAGTCTTCCCGAGTGGAGGGAGGCTTCGTGGACTCGTGCCAACACGCAGGCTGGTTCTCTCAAACTGCCGCTAGGTGGTGGTGCTGTTCTGAAAGCATTCCAGTGGGACCCAAAGTAGGTCCAGACAAGGCCTGACATTGCCCACCCCCCCGCCCCCCCCTCGAGAATGTGGGGCTGGATGGGGGACAAAAGCAAGATATACACCTCTTTAATATCCATGAAATCAAAGTCTACGGGGTGGGGGTGGGTCGGGAAAAGGGAGGAGCGGAGATTGATGAGCCGTCAAACCCAGCGTTCCCGTCAAACCCAGAAGAGGCGTCCGTCCGCTCCTATTCGCTCTTGGCTGTCTCCGATTTGTACCCACCCTCATCTTCCGAGCTCAACACCACCATCCATATCCTAATCACAGTTTCACAAACCCCAGGAAGGTTCCATGCGGAGAGAGGCTGAGTTTCGCCCTCCCCCGGGGGATGGTGACACTCAGAATATCCCCTTGGTGTAGGTGGAAGACACCTGAGAAACGGAGAAAATACACACTCCGTGAAGCACAGTCCCGCAGACTCTCTGGTGCCTCTCCTCTCTTCTCCGGCTCAGCCTTCCTCCTGCTTCCTGGCCTGCATCCCCCAGATCCACCTGTCCACCCAGGCTTCCGGCCCCCCGGGGGTCACAGACACCCTGCTCCTCTCACACCTGCCCTCCACTGCCCACGGGGCTCTTACCTGCGCTGTAGCAGCTGTTGTAGGCCCAGTCCGGGTTGGAGGGCATGCTTCGGACACATCGGAAGAGAGTCTCCTGCCTTCCCTGGCCCTCCCGAGACACCACCTGACCCATGGTGAAAGTCACATCATGGAACAGGACCTGACGGGGGATGGAGGAGAAGCTGAAGGAAGTGAGAAAGCATGGCTCAGGGCTGGGAGGCCTCCGGAGCCTGGATGACGGAGCCAAGGAAGGAAGGAGGGTCTTCGAAGTTTGGTATGAACAGAGGCGTTGGGAACCCTCAGTACCAGGGCATCCAGGCCCTGGGAGAACAGACCCCATGGCCCCCAGTCGAGGCTTAGGGTATGTGTGGGATTACCTGACTATACAGCAGATAGACCCCAGCGTCCCAGACTCGAACAACGTATCCTTGGGCCTCCAGACCTCTCCCACGCTTAAGGGCCGGTTGCCACATCACCTCCGTCACATCGGAGTCCTCTGGAGGTGAGGAGTATGGCAATCAGGACTTCTGGGCATTCTCAGAGACTTTTCATTGCTAGGATTCTCTTGGGCCCAGGTGTCAGCCCCAAAGTTCCCTGATCTTGCCCCTCCCCCAGAGCCATTATTTAAAGTAGTGCTCACCCTTGGAGGTGATGTTGATGGGGACAAGGTGCAGAATGGAATGCTTCTCTGAGGAAAGAAGAAGGAGATCTAAGCAATGCCCACCTGTCCCCTCCCCCCTGCCCCTGGCTCCGGGGAACAATCTCCAGATCCCCCTGCTGCTTGATCACCTCCCACCCCTGCCGCTCCCGGGAGGCCTCACTCTTCTGCTTATGCGTGAGCGCTGCTCTCTTTCTCCGGGCTCTCTCCCCATTCTCCCAGGCTTCCAGGGCATCAGGGCTCTGTTCATGGAAAGAGGGTCAGGGTTAGGCTAAGAAGCAAGGGTCCCCCGACAGCTTTTCCTCCCAGCCCTGCCCCGCCTCCCCACTCCCCAGCCCCAGGAGCGCCTCACATCACTCATGCACTTTTCCCCAGCGACCTGAGTCTTGGTGCTGGCTGTCCTCCAGGATCTGGTAGGCATGAGAAGCATTAATCTTTAACAATTTCCTTTCCTGGAATGGTTGCCCCCTTGACCTCCAAACCTGGGACCCTCTCCTGCATCTACTCAAAACTTTACAGACCACGAGGCTAGACCCAGGAGGCCCCAAGATGGCCCTGGCACCCAAACTCTTCTCCCCCACTCCCTTCTCCCCTCACTCACCTGCTCCTGGAGGCTCAGCCATGGATGCCCTTCCTCCTTCTCGGGGGGCCCTCCGGCCCTCTGCAGCCGAGCCACCTCTCTCCTTAGATTTTGCAGCTCTGTTTGCTGGGTCAGCAGAGCCAGGGCACAAGCCACAGCCCCCAGAGCTGCCCCCCAACTCAACCAGAGGGCGACTGAGAGTGCCGGCTCTCGGGCCGGGCCACCCATGTCTCCCGGGGGCCCTTTGGGGGCTAGCAAGGAAGGAAACGAGGCTGGCATGAGCTGGGGACCCTGCCAAAGGCTGCAGCCTCAGGAGTGGGGTGGCGGGGAGGTGGTGGGGAGGGTGGGGGTACAGAAGGGAAGAAGAGCGTTACGCAAGGGAGGAATAAAAAGGAACTTGAGAATTAAAAAGGGAGGAGGAGAGCCAGCAAGGGGCACTGTTGGTGCTCCTGGCACCCCGCCGTGGGGCCAGTGTTGTCTCCAGACGCCCCCTCCGGACACACACACACACACATACACACACACACACACACCCTCCTCCAGCCTCAGGAGGACTAGGTCCCAGTCTCTTGAGGAAGGACAAGACTGCCAGTGACACCCAGGAGGAGCGGCCGAGCACAGGAACCCTGGGACGGCCCCAGAAGTGGGGGAGGGAAGGGTGGCTGGCTCCGGGGCATGGTGCCAAGAGCAGGGATGAAGGGGCAAGCTGGGCAGCCTTGGGGGTCCAGGGGTGAGGGGGTAAAGACCCTCTGGCTCAGCCACACGAGAGATCTTTGGGTATGACTGAAGGTGGAAAAGGAGGGGCGGGGGGGGCGGCGGGTAGATGGGAAGGAGAACCAGGGTCGCGGAAGCAAGAAACTGGCTGAGTTCTGGGGTTAAGGCCAGGCCGGGTGTGTTGGAATAGGCCAGCACTACTCCCTGTGCTGAACTTGGCAAGGAGAACTTCCTGTTTCCCGAGAAGAGCTCTTACATAAGGCCCTGGTCAGAGAGAGAAAGAGACAGCCCCAAGCACCCTACCACTGTAGGATTCCTCCCCTGGACCCAGGGCCCCGGGTTCCCATGTTCCCGGTTCCCGCGTCCTGCTTCCTGACCCTGAGCTCCCCTTCGGGCCTGCTCCCACCCCACATCCCAGCCGGGGCTGGTGGCAGCCCCGCTGAATGTCCCGAGGCTGCCAAGAGGAAGGGCCCCTGCTCCTCCCAGCCAGGGATTACCAGCAGGAGGAAGCCCGCCTCCTAGGTAAATGAGGCAGCTTCTGCTGGACCTTGGGCAGAGGATTGATTTTTTTTTTCTGGCAGTTTGCCTTTCCACTCTCTACTCATGCCTCAGGGGTCAGAGGCAGGCGGGTCCCCACTCGCGAGCCCGTACATTGCCCTGGCATCCCAGCCCTCCCGCACCCCACTCCTGGATGCCCAGACCCCCTTCCCGTAGCCCTCCACTACCCTGAGAAATGTTCCCTAAGCCCCAAGGAAGAGAGAGACCGTGGTTTATTCTCTTTAATATCCACTTATCAACATTTTGTCACAATAATAATAAAAATAATATCTGCTTCTTAAAAATCCACAGGGAATTATCAGGGAAGGAGCTTGGCTTGCTCTTAGCCCTCGCATTTGGGAACTCCCGGCCTAGTCCCAGGCTCCCTGGCATCCAGCCCCTATTAGTGCCTGAAGGTGGGAGGGATTGGGGACCCATCCTCACCCAGAGTAGAGTAGACACAGTGTCCTGGGGGGTTGTGGCCAGGGCAGGGGTCAGGAGATTAATGGGGGCGACGAAAGACTAGGGGTTCAGGAGCTAGTGAGGTGGAGGGGGGGCGTCAGAGGAGAAGGGGGTTATCTGTGTGGCGTGGAAACAAACGTGAACAAGTCCAAGCAGCCTGCAGAGGGCGGGCAGGTGGGGGGGGAACGGGGGAGGAGGGGGGGCGCACGGGGGGAGGGGCGCACCGAGACAGCCGCGGTGGGGGCGCCACCAGGGCCCCTCAGTGAACCTGGAAGAGTCCAAAGTAGGTGAGGAAGGGGGCGGCCTTGAGATGGGCCCAGGGGAGGGTGCGGATCCGCAGGGAGGACCCCGGCCGGAGGGGCAACAGCCCAGACACCTGGCAGAGGCGGAGCTGGGGCCCCACGGCGCTCGCGGCCGTGGCCGAGAACTCCTCCAGGCAGCGCAGGGCCAGCGCGTCATCCACCAGCAAGTCCAGCTTCAGGTAGACAGCCTTCCCCTCGTCAAAGTGCACCTGCCGGGCGGGCGGGAGGCGGCAGAGTCCAGGCCTCTGCTGGCCGCGCCTCAATTTCCAGCAGCCTTGGCCCCCCAGGGGGCCCATCGGGCCCCAGCCCTGAGCTCCCCTCCCCGCGCTGGCTCGCCCCCGGCCCCCCAGACCCGCAGTCCCCGCTGTACCGTGGAGCCAGGTGGGCCTTACCTGACAGTAGAGGTAATAGAGCCCGGCCCGCACGACGAGAAACTCCCCGCTCTGGCGGTCATAGCGCAGTGGGTTGGAGCTGTTGATTTTCGCCTCTTCCCAGCCGCTCACCGTGCCGTCCACACCTGAAGGGTGGTGATCAGAGATCAGGACTCTCTCGCACTCCCCGGGGACCCGTTCAGTACCTAAGGCTCGGGGGCCCCCTTTACCCAGAAGATGCAGAGATGGGTGTGGGGCCAGGGAGGAGCCCGTGGTGTAACAGGAAGTGTGCGTGAAGACGTGCGGCGTTTACACGTGTCTGTGACCAGGGCGGTAAGGAGCAAGGTGTCACCCACCACTTCTGGCGAGAAGAGCCAGATGGAAGGAGAAGCGCCAGGGGGGGCTTTGGTATTTTGTGTCTCTGCTGTTTGCCTCTTTTGAGAATGTCTACGTCGCGCCCTCGAATCGTACAGTACTTGGATTAAGAACGGGATATTATTCAGCCATTAAAAAGATAAATGCTACCCTGTGGACGAACCGAAAGCATTATGCTAAATGAAAGAAGCCAGTCCCAAAGGACCACATATTATGTGATTTCTCTGAAATTTCCAGAAAATAAATACATAGAGACAGAAAGTAGATCGGTGGGTGCTTGGAGCTGGGGGCGTGTGTGGGAGAAACAGGGGTGCTGACTAAAGGCTACAGGGTGTCTTCCCATGCTGATGGCTGCAACTGTGTGACCAGACTAAGACTAAAAACCACCGAATCGTACACTTTACGTGGGTGAATTGTATGGGAAGTATAGCTCAATAAAACCGTACCAAAAAATTTAAAAAACCTAGAGCTAAGGTCATGGCCAAGAAGATGAATAATAGAACGATGGAGCAGGAGCTCAGGTGGCTTCCCGGGTCCTCCCCGGGCCACCCGGTCTATCACAGGACTCCCACTGTCTTCCTGGCCCCTCCCCGCCCCACCCCGCCCCTGCACACACCAAGCACCTTTCTCCCTTCAGATCCCGACTCAGCTGACAGCCTTCCTTCCCTGGGCCCCCAGTTCCAAACAGCCAGTCCCAGCCCTGCCTCTTGTCTCTTCCCCACGCCACCCTGTTTCCTTCACCCGGGAAATCCTCCGGCTGATTTACTGAGGTGCAAGTGTGGGGTCCCAGCACGGTCTTATTCACCACCGTGGTGTGGCACGCAGCGCTGGGCCTGCTCCGAGTGGGCGCCCGGCGAACACCGCTGGGAGGCCAGAGGGGGCGGCCAACGGGGCCCAGAGCTCTGGCTTTGTCTGGATCCACCCCCTGCTCTCCTGGGCCTCGCTCAGCGGCCGCGCCTTCCCCAGCGCTCCCTCATCGTAACCCATTTGATTCCCCGATTTCCAGTTCCTACCTGTTCTGCCACCTCAATCCCTGCGCCCTGTCTCCCTCCCCACCCGGCCCCTGGCACTCCGGCTGGGATTCTTCTCAGCCTCCCTCCTCGGCCGACTCCCCTGTGCACCTTCTTCCTGCTCCACTTTATTCCCTACACGCGTCCTTCTAAAACGCGGGTGGGAGCCTGCCTTTGCTTGCTTTGACCTCAGGATGACTTCCAGACTCCCTTTGGGGCCTGGCTCCCTATTCTCCTCCAAGCTCACGGCCCCCCCGTCCTGTCGGCGAGCACCTCCCTCCAAGCACACTAAGCAGCTCATCATACTCTTGCCCAACTCGCGGCTTTGGCACAAGTGGTTCCTTCTACCTGGAACGTCCTTGACCCCGTGTCCATCTTAGATTCATGCTTCAAGGCCCACCACGCCTTCTTGGGGAAGGAGTCCTGACTCCATTGTAAAGTTGTTTGTCTTCTTCTACGCTACCGTGTACCTCTGGATGCTTTCCTTATTGTCCTTGTCACAGCATACTGTGATTCCCAAATTTATATGCTTGTCTCCTCTCCTAGACGGTCATCTTTCAAGACTAGGTCTGGGTATCATTCCCTGTGGGCGCTGAGCCTGCTCCTTAAAACAGCAGGTTCTCAGCAGCGGAGGGATGAATGTCTGGGTAACTACTCCACTGAATGGTCCATTGGGAGGGGAGGAGGGCTGGCCCGGGGCATGAAGAGCAGGGGGAGAGGAGGGAGGACATTCCCCACTATGGAACCAGCTGGAGGAAAGGCTGGTTGTGGCCAAAGGGCATGGTGTGCCTGGGACCGCGGGGTCCCTCCACATCACAACCACAAGCCTCAGATGGACATTCTTTACTGCCTGGCAACCCTCCTTCTCTTGCCCACTGAGCTTGCTCTGGTACTCATCGAGGCAAGGATTTTGTACCCTCGCTCCTCGCACCTCCTGCCCATCTCCCTCATTCTCCAGGGGATCTAGAAGTCGTCAGGCAAGGGCTCCCCCGCCTCCCCCGACCAGAGCCAAAAAACTGACCTGTGCCCACATTCTCGACTGACCCTCTTGTGATGATGGGATAATGTGTCCCTCCCTTTGTTCTGGAACCCACCCCTTGCCCCCGTCCTGGACACTGCCCTGTGGGGCCCCCCCACCCCTGCGCCGGGCATGTCCAGTACACAAGCACACTCTAGCGAGCTTCAAGTCCTGGTCCTGCCACTGAGTATCGTCATGGCCTCGGGCAGGGTAAGTAACCTCCATCTGCAAAAATGGAGCTGATCAGAGTATCTTCCCTTTAGGACCATTAGGAGGTCTAGACGAACGGGACATCCAGTAAATGTTAGCTAAGATCCCTATGGTACTGCTTATCCCCAGAAGGACTGAATTTTTCCTCCCTCCACATCTCCCTCCAGCCACTGGCCCCCACTGCTCTGCTCATCCCAGAGAAACTTCTGGAAAGGGCTGTCCCTGACTCCAATTCCTCTTTCCCATTTTCTCTTCACCCCGTCCACACTGGCTTCTATCCTAACTGCACCACTGAAACCGCCCTGGCCAAGGTCACCAGCTGCCTTTTTAGGTTACCAAACCCCCATGGTCAAATCATGTGACCTCTCAGCTGCATTCAGCAGAGCCACACCCTCGTTGGTGAGACCGCATCTTCTCTCAGATCACAGGCCCCTCTGCTCCCCGACTTTCTTCCCTTCTGTCCATCTGCTTCTCAGTCTCCGCTGGGTTCTCCTCTTCTGCGCCACTTCTAGATGGCTCACAGCCCCAGGGCCTCACTCTTGGGGCCCCTCTTGCCCCCTGGGGCCTCATCCAACCCTGGAGCTCTAAACACCATCCGTACGGCTACGGTTCCTGACGGCTGGCGTCCTAACCCAGCCACCTGTCTGCGGAACTCACTCATTTATTATTACTTCACTTGGTTTAGTAGGAGATCTGAAATTCCATTCTTAATTCACGTACCTCCCAACCTATTTCTTCCCCAGGAAACCCCATCCCCATTAAATGGCATCATTATTCCCAAGGACGCCCAAGTTAAAAATCTAGAAGTCACTTTGATCCCTTTCCCTTGCCTTCCCCCTGCACATCCAACCCATAAGCAAGCCCTATCTTCAAGCTACATGGCTCCATCTCGACTGCTAGGCCCCCTAGACCAAGCCACCCTCCTGTCTTGCCTCCTGGCCTGCCCCATGGAAGGACATTCCAGGGGAGGGCACAGTGTGTGCAAAATCCAGAAGAAGCACACTGGCAGGGAGGGGTGTCAGGCCAAGTGTGCAGGGAGAAGAGGTTGAGACCAGACCACGGAGAGGCTGCAGCCAGGCAGAGAAGCAGGGTTATAATGACAGTGAGTTGGGAGGGCCTTAGCTTGGCAACATAGGTGGGACAGAGCCAAGGGGTGGGGAGGGGCTGGGATGGGGAAGGGGTTAGAGACTGGGTTTGCGGTTCTGAGATCCTAGTGCTGAGATGGGAGGTGGGGTAGGGATGCAAAAGGAGCCCGGTAGAGGGGCGCCTGGGTGGCTCAGATGGTTAAGCGTCTGCCTTTGGCTCAGGTCATGATCCTGGAGTCCCGGGATCGAGTCCCACATCGGGCTCCCTGCTTGGCGGGGAGTCTGCCTCTCCTCCCTCTGACCCTCCTCCCTCTCCTGCTCTCTGTCTCTCGTTCTCTCTCTCTCAAATAAATAAATAGAATCTTTAAAAAAAAAAAAAAAGGAGCCCGGTAGAAACATTTTAAGAAAAATGGTCAGAGCGTGAAGACTCACGGAAGACGAGGGGGGGGTGCGGAGAGGGAAGAATCAAATGTGCTTCTTGCACAAGCATGAGGGCTGGTGGTTGGGTGCGGGGAGTCTGCCTGGGTTCTCATGCCTGGGTCACAGACAGAGACCAGGTTTGGGAACTGAGAGAACCGAGCCCTGAGGATCTTCTTGAACTGGCTTCTGGGGTTCCCAGGCTGAAGGCAGGGAGGGCAGTGGGAAGTGAAAGGTTTGGAGGGGCCCTTTTCCCAGGAGGCCAGTGCTGTGCGAGTTGGGGGGGAGAGCTCAGAGGCGGGAATGGCGTCTCACCGGCCTGCGCTCCGTCCTGTCCCGGTCGTGGGTGAACTGTAAGGCATAAGAAAGGGTTGTTGAGACCTGCCCCGGCCTGCCACCACCCCATCTCCCTGGGCAGGTATCACCCATCACCCACCTTCATAATGCGCTGCAATGACTCTGCGAGCCCGCGTTTTCCGGCCTTTAGGTGCTGAGAATCAAGGAAAGAGACGCGGGGAATATAGCGCCCCCTTACTCTGGGGGGCCCAGGAGCCACTCCCCGGCCCCGCCTCCCTCTCAGAGCCCCAGCATCCTTATTCTTGTCCAGACTCCTGGCCTCAGAGCCTCAGGCCAGACCTCCCTCCATCAGCAGAATGACTGCATCATTTATCACCCATACTGGGTTGTTTCTGAGAGCAGAAGGGTTGCTATGAATAATCGCAGGGAGATAACAGTCGTAAGCGGGGACAGTCCTGTGCAAACCTGTACACAGTCACGTGGTCATCCCATTCACAAGCCTCTCTGCTTACCGGGACCTGCCTCTGCCTCTGCCTCCCCCACCTTGTCTCCATCTCCTAACCCTGGGCCATCCCCTCCTCCATATCTGCCCTAGCATCTCAAGTGAAAAGCAGGTCCGTGGGATGGGAGGGGCTTCAGAGAGAGGTCCAGAATTCTAGGTTTGCGTCTCAACCCAATAGCTGCCTGACTCTGAACTCCGCGCCCCCCCCCCACACCCTGTCTGTGCCTCAGTTTCTCCATCCCGAGCATAAGTGAGGATGATGGTTTTGATTCTGCCCACTCCGTGGGGCTGTGAGGATGAACAAAAGCAATAAGGAGCGCAGAAGCCACTGTAGACTGGCCACTGCGATTATTCCTGAAGGGTGGGTAAAGGGATGCTCACCATTTCTGCGCGGCCGAACCAGCCTCTTCAGGAAAGGCCCAGGATCCTGGCTTTCCTCTGTCTGGGGATTCAGTTCCTAGGCGAATTAAGGGCAGGGCTAAACCGGGGTCTTGCGGGAACTACCAGAGACTAAGCTGAGACCGACAGGGCCCCCGCACCCCTCGTCGGGAGAGGCACCAGCTAGCACCAGGCACACAAGTCTTAGGGAGGCCAGGTGCTGGGGGCCCCCGGCCCCCCAGGCCCCCACCACACGGAACCGGCACAGACCCTTCGGCGCGGTCAGCACAGTGCCCAGGCGCCCACACCCGGCCTGCGTGCACGCATCCCCAGCATCCCTCCTCGGCGGCAGGCTCCCCCCATCCCATACCCCCACTTCACCCACAGCCAATAAACACTCCGGACTCAGGCGACACGAGCCCCTTCCACACAGCGGCACCCTCCCTCTCTCTCCGTCTCACATACGCATGCACGGCGGTGCACACCCCCGCACACACGCAGTTGGCACGGCCAGGGGCACACCCCGCGCCCTCGGCTCGCGCACACTGCCCACGCCCAGCAGCGCGCGCCCGCCACCCACGGCCACTCACCGGCGGGTCCGGGTCCTCCTCCGCCACCAGCTCCCCCTGGGAAGGCTCCTGCCGGGAAGGAGGCAGCGTCACCCCGTCCTTCTCCACCTGGCATCTCACCCTCCACCCCGCTTCCTGGCCCCGTGCCCTCAGCCCCCCCGGCCCCGTCCGCCGC